CGGAGGCCCGGGCGAGCCGCGGGCTGCGGGAAAACGACAAGGCGGCGGCCAGGGCAGCGCTGCGGGGCGCCGGGGCTCGCGGTGCGGAGGCTCCCGCGGGGATGCGGAGGCTCCCGCGGGGATGCRGAGGCTCCTACGGGGATGCGGAGGCTCCCGGGTGCTGCATCCCGCCTCCCGGGAAGGCTCCTGCCCGCGCGGCCCAGGGCTGTCAGCGCCGCGCTCCCGCTCTTGCCCGGGGCACGGGAGGGCCTTCCAGGAGCCCCTGCCCGGTGAGGCTGAGACAAGGGCCGGGCTGCCGTCCCGGCGCGCAGCTTGCTGCCCTTCGGGGCGAGCTGCGTGCCGGCTTGCGTCCTTACSCGCGCTCAGGTGGTAGCCGGAGGCTGCAGGGCTGATCCCTGCGTGTGCCGTGACCCTCTGGCGGGAATCCCCGTCCACGGCGCGGGACCTGCAGAGCAGGAGCTACGCTTTGGGTTCTGGTGCAGTTCCAACACCCAAACTGCCCCGGAGCCTCCCCTGGAGCACTCGTGTTTTCTTGTTTTCTCCAGATAACAGCTTCCACGCAGGCCATGGGTCAGCCCTGCTGCTCCTTGGGCATGTCTGGGGTACAAACCTGCTGCCACAGTTTCACTCCTGCTCTGGGAAAACCAGCATCTGGCTACCTGAGCAATACGTGATAATTCAGGTCTGGGACAGGTAGCCCAGAGAAGGAAGGACGGAGGAGCAGGCAAAGATCTTTCAGATCCGGTGATCCTAGAAAGCATTGAATTGCACTAGGAGGGAGAAGGAGCAGGTTGCTTTTCCCTTCTTGTTCACTCTACTTGGGAAGAAACCATGTAAACAATAAGGATTAGAAGAAATACTTAGAAGCTGAAGGAAACTCTTCAATAGTTTAATAGAGAAATAGAGAAGAAGCTAGTAAATASATTCCCCAAAAGTAAGTAACAGAAGAGGCGACAGAAATGAAGATGGGTGGGAACCTGCAAGTATGGTTGCACTGTGTGAAAATGATAAAGATTGCCACATTAGATAAGGTAGGAGAAGCTAGAGAAAAAGGATCAGCGTGAGCACATGCTTTTAAAAAATATCCTGAGGGCRTTGCTTTTTGGTGAGCCTAACGGTGGAGTTACTTTTGTACAGAGTTTTGAATAGCCCTGCTTCCTGAGAGAGCTAATGAGCAGCTCATATGGACAGGGGCTTGTTCAGGGTGCCTGGAGTGATTTGCAACACCGGCTGTTGTAATTACATTATGATAAATCCTCTGACAAACCTATTACATAACTGACTGAGGTTATAAGTCTGCTGTGTGGATAACAGAGAAGATGAAATTGCTTAGGATTTCCATACATAGGATAGTATGTCTCGCTGTGATGGTGAGTCTGTCTCCTTTCTGGTGTCTGGGCCTTGCTCTTAAGTTAAATAGTGTGTTGCTGTTCTGTGCCTTGGGGTGAACTGTGTTGCTGCCCAGTCCCGTGAACAGTGGGCCTTGCTGCAGYCCCCTCTTCACACTAAGAGCAGAGCGCAGAGCAGGCTGAAACGTCCCTTCCTTGGTCATTTAATGCAAGTTCTTAGAAATTCAATGCATAAATTACCCAGGAAGATATAGATCAATAATTGTTACTGAATGGTGCACATCCATCATCATTATAAAAATTGCCAGGCTAGGGGATATAGTGAATGCTGCAGGCCCAGGTCTACCATTCTTTGTGCTGAAAAGATGCACTGGGCTGGACAAAAGGGTCTGTCCCAGACTCCTCATAATGTCTTGAAGAGCACAAGAAGAGTGTGGAATGAATCTGGTTTTAGGAGCTTCCCCAAAAGTAATAACGTCATTGCTACAATCTGTGCCTTCCTCCTGACGTCTGCTTTGCATTTCTCTCCCATTTGTAAGGATGGGTTTGGGTCCACATCGCTATGGGGTCAGAGAGCCATGGGGGTTGATTTTAGTGCTCCAAAGAGGGGACGGGGTGTGTTGTAGCAGACAGAAAATGAGCAACCTCTAGGCCTGATGGTCTTCAGCAGGCATCTTAGGGCAAGTTTTGCATTAGGATAATGGGAAGATGAAAATTGTTTTTGAACTGCATCACTGAACTGAGCTGTAAAGGGATCAGTGCTCTAAAATGCAGGGCATGGAGTTCGCCCTTCCCGACCTACAGTTTTTGAGGTTGAAGAATATATTTCTCAAAAATTGCCTGCTTGTTTGGTAACTAGGGAGTTGCAGCAGAAAAGGGGAGATAACAAATATTGTTTTCATGGAAGTCAAAATACCTGTGACTTCCAAAAGATACTAGATGCATCTTTTTACTTAAATGTTGTGTTTCCTAAGGAAAGTATTTAAAAGTGAAATCAGAAGGGAAGGATCTTTCTGTAGCCAAACTAAAAAAATATTGCTTTGAGAAAATAAAAATAGGCTTGAGCACTCCCAACCTCACTGAAAGTTGTGGATTCCGTTTTTCTAGGTGGAGTAATTTTGTTATTTTCCTCCATCTCACCCATTTCAGTTGCATCTTTAGGTTCCCCAGTCTGCTTTGTGCTGCTTGCCTGTCTGCACAGGCTCTCAGCAGTACCCCTGGAGATGTTTCATTTCTGTCACCTGCAGGGAGAACTGTTGTTGGAAGCATTTTCATTGCTGGAAGGCAAAAAAAAAAAAAAAAAAATAGAGTATTAAAGCAATCAACACCTGTAGCAGTAGCAGGGGTGTAGCAGGTGGAGGAACCAGACTTGCCATCTCAAAAGCAGGTTTACTTCTCATGCTTAAGATTTAGGGAGATGGAAAGTTGGAATAMTAGTGTATGACCCAAAACTCCATACAAATTTTGCTTTACATCATCTTAGAACCTGAGCTGGGCATGGGGATAATTCTTTTATTAACTGGCAACTTATTCAAAGGGCCGCATAGAAAGAGTGGTYGCCAGACCCTGCAGCAGTGACTCTCGCTAGAGTTCGATGCAGTTACTTTGGGCCGTTGTTTCCCAAGGCTGGAAGCTGTGCACCAACTTCACAAGAGGTGGTTGAGGATTTTATTTTAAGTCCTCTTTGGTTTTATACAGCCTCTGAGACTGTAGTATCCAGATCCTCAAAAGGAAGAGTTTGAACTTTCCAACACCTGAGTTGAGACCCCTGTCCCCAGCAGCAGCTGGGACAATGCAGAGCTTGGCAGCAGTTTCTGCTTTATTTTTGCAAGATAAGTATTCATGCCAGTGGCATCTCAGGTTCTGGCAGATGGGTGGTGATGTTTTCTATTAGCATCTTTAAATGAAGTCACATAAGTTTAAATTTTGCAGTGGGGCCTCACAAATACCCAGTGTCAGCAGGAGTGCTTCCCGGGAATTATTGCACAACAAAAGTCAGATATTCAGTGGAAGATGCAGTTGGAGGTCATGCATTTCTCTGAATAACTGACAACTACCAATACTGTTTTAATGTTACAGCTTGGTTAGGTACCATGGGAGGGGAAGTTTCCTCCACATACCACTTTATGTTGCTGTTGTGAGCTGGCTAAGAGAGGTAAATAGGGGAGACACCAAAAATAAAAGCAAAAAAAAGTGTTTTTTTTCAGCTAAGGAGACAGATTCAGATGCTCTATTGGCATCTATTGGCTGCTATTGGCAGCACAAGGAAGGGGACTGGGCACGTGTATGCAGGGATGAAGGAAACCTCCCTTTTGGTAGCAGCCAGCTATTGCATTGGCTCAGCTGTAATGTCACAGAGAAACCCAGACAAAAGAACAACATCAAGAAAGTGAGAAGTGCTGCTTGGAAGAGGTTCTATGATGCACTTAGAATTTTCTCCTAGGGTTTATGATGTGCTTAGAATTTTCTCGTATATCAGTAGTAGTGGAAAGTTTTGAATTTTCTTTTCTTTCTAAACTGAAATAAACTGTTCGTATGTTGATCTTTCCTCTTTTAAACAGGAAGCGACAAAGATCTTTATATGGCTCATGTCTGACAACATGCACCACCAGTGGCTGCTGCTAGCTGCATGCTTTTGGGTGATATTCATGTTCATGGTTGCTAGCAAGTTTATCACATTGACTTTTAAGGACCCAGATGGTAAGTTCATCTTTTAACTGAAATTTGACGTGAAGCAGAAGATTGGCTAATGTTTCACACAAATAAATAGTCTTTCTGTATGAGTAATGTTTCACACAAATAAACAGTCTTTCTGTGCAAAGTACTTCTCAGTATGTTACCACTTTTCTTCAGTAGGATTTGGGAACAGAAGAACTGATTTATTATCAACGTGAAAGCGCTTGTATTTTCAGAGTTTCTGCTTTTCTTGATGGAAGTCTGCAAAACTAACCTTGTGCCATTTCTTTTTGGTGGTCAGGAATAGAGAGCATCGTGTCTTGCAGTTTGGTTGTGGGAGGTCTGGTTTTTCAAATCCGCTCTGTTTCAACCTAACAGGAAATCCACGTGCAGGACAACACAGCAGAATTACCCTTCCCAAGGTATTTCCCTTCCCTTCCGTTTCCTTGTGCAAACGAGACGCATAAGGAACAAAATAGTCTGTTCCATGTGGTATTTGCTTCCCTCCTCGTGACTACTTGTGCTGTGGCTGCAGTGTGAGCCTCGTGGAGAGCCTGGTTTCGTTTACACTGCACTTAATGCAGCCCCCTCTGCCTTGCTTCTTGCATTCGGTTTTATCCTCTGCTGTTTGAATGGCAAAGGGCTTATAGGCTTTTGCTTAGCCTAAGTAGCCCAGATGGTATTAAGCTGATAAGGAATTAAAGGCATTTGATGATACCACACAGCATGTTACAGTTCTCTTTCTACTGATGAGCTGCCATTGAAAAGCAACCCTGCGGAGACTTTATGGTGAAGGTGGCCACACGACTTAGTTTTTAAAAGATCTGAATTTCTGCATCTTTAAGAAATACAAAAATGTGCAAGACTTGAAGAGCCAAAATCCTAAGTGCAGTCCGTTTCAATGATGTGACAGTGGATAAATTTATTAAGTGTATATTTTTAAATAGTATACTTTTGTGTGAAGACTTATTCATCATGTCTTACAGATGAGAATTATAGGCTAACTTGGTAGTTTTTCTCAGTCCCAGCTGTTTTTGAGTCCTAATACATCTGCAGATGAGCCAGTCTTATATTAGGTATTTAAATGTTCTGATATTTCATACTATGCCAGCTCTTGTTTCGCAGCACAAGTAGTCTCTGAGTGGTTATTTACACCAGAAATTGTCAGGGGAATTCAAATGCAATATAAAAAATCTTCTGCTGAAAATATACCCTCTACATTTACTTGCTTACGATTGTCTTGGCTTTCCCTTTGAATAGCTTTTTGAGCAGAAGACTGTGTAATTCGTAACTCCCAGCCCTGAGAAGACATGGCAGTGGTTAAGTGTATGTACGTGTCGGCGATGCCAGTGTTTGCATCAGGACTAACAAAGGGAAGTGTCGTGAAAGCACTRACAGAAATTTGGAGACAGTACAAAGAGGATGGCCTACTCCTGTAGACTTCACAAAATATGGGCTTGTCAAGGATTTTCCTTATTGGAACGTGTCTACTTAACAACTAGAACAAAACTTCAGATGCTCAATGAATCAACGTGGCTTCTGTTTTTTCTTAACCTTTTAGTGATCTCTTTGGTGCATGGACGCCTTGCTGAGAAAGACCAACTTCTGTCTGTCATCTCTACCAGCATCTGTGTGCATGTTGTTATGCTGTGATAATGGAAGATGGTTTAACTGCTTTTACACTGAGCCTGATTACCTTTTTTTCTTTTACTACAGGATGCTGTGGAGTAAGGGTGCTCACAACAATATTTACTGCAGCTGATTGCTCGAATACTGACACTGCTCTTGGTTCTAGCTTGTTTTTTCCCTCATGTGCTTTGCTAAAAGGCAATTTAGAAACAATACAGTACTTGCTTAAGAAAGGGACACAGTGCACACAGTTTCCTGAGCACAAAACAGTAAGCCACTGTGGAGGCAGATGAAGAATGGTTATTCATAAAGAACAAGCTATGTGAAGGGAAAAATAGTCCCATATGCATGGAAATAAATTTTGAGAGAAAGATCATGTTCTTTTTGCTTTGTGGCTAGGGAAAGCTGCTTCAGATCCCTTTTGGTCTCTCTGCACTATATAGAGAACAGCTGCAGCCCTGTGTTATTTTTCAGTTTCACTGTAATACAGCAGTTGATAAAGATGCAAAAGCTTCTTCCATTATGTGATTTAATTTGTTCACAAGCTATTAGCAGCGTAAAAGTCATTAAAGAACAAGTGAATTATCAGTTGAATCATTTTTCACCTTTGGGAGTCTCTAAGGAAGTCCCTGAATCCAGTAGTATGTAACGGGTCATGTATTCTTTAGTGCTGATTAGATGTGTTAATTGCAGCACCAAAGAAAGAAAAGGTTCCTCGCAGTAAAGGTTTTGTTTCAGTAATGTCTGTGAATGTGCAGTAGGAAAAGCCTGCCTACTGACACAGGGGAAAAAAAAGACTTTTTTTTTGTTTGAAAGTGCTGTGTGAAGTTATTTGAAAAATCTGCTATTAAGTCCATATGGTTATGTTCATTTGTCTTGCAAACAAGATTTAAATATCATATGCTAGGGCTTTAATCACATGTGAAATGCAGCAGTTCTTTTTCTTGCTATGTGGATTCATGATTTCTGTGTCTCTTTATACACAGTTTGTTCAAAAAATCCAAGGTAAAAGATCATGTCTATCCATGATATAGCTCAGCTGAAGTTGCATCTAAAATTCCTGTAGGGCACATCCTTTAAAGCATTCATCATCTGTCTCCAGTCTTGTTAGGCACCTTCTCACTTGGGAGCAAATCCTGATGTTTGTATGCTTGATACAGAAAGTGATGTTTGATTGTATTCAATGCAAAGCAGAAACAGTTGTCTGCCTCCAACCCCTGTAAGTCTCTTATCTCTTTTCCTTCCTTAGGCTATGGTGCCAAGCAAGAGCCATTAATACTGACAGCTGTGACAAAAGTGGAGGAGGTGCGTGGGCCAGAGGAAAAACACTGGCCTGAGGATTTCCAGGTATGTACTCTTGAGATGAGGGTTGTGTGTATTAAAAAGTAGGAAAAAACAAAGGTTAAGTACAAACTTCAAAGGAATTGCTGGACAGAAAYGATTTGTTCAGACTCTTTTATTGAGATAGAATGGAATTCATTTTAGCTCCACAAAGCTAGTTGGTTACAATAAGCTGCTATCTTGTTTCATCAGAATGATTTAATTTAAAAATGTGTTTTCATTTCTAGGAGAAAATAGTTATGATATTCCTTTACAAGCCAGGACAGTCATTTTTGCCAGCCTATTTTATATAATGACCCAATTTCGAGTTACTTGTGTTCTGCCTTACCACAGCCATAGGCTTCCTCCTTCTGGAGAGCACGGCTCTTTCTTGCTTAATGTCTTAGTTCCTTTTGGTCCCCTGCCCAGTCTCTCTGCTTTGATTCTTTTTATCAGTCTCCATCTCTTTTTTCCTATGTTTTGCTCTTTGTGCTCCCGTCTCAGCATTTGTCCAAAGTAGAACATGAACACAATAGCTTTCAATACAACTTGATCCTTCAGATGTGCAGTTCTGTGCTTTCAGATGTAAAGCAGAACAAATGTGATGTTCCCTAATTTACGGGGAGACTCTGCAGATTTCTCATACAAATGTGAACTTGAGATTCAGATTTGTAAAAGCTGAGCCCACCTTTTGCCAGTTGGCTAAATAAGTCATCTTGTATTTGGAGGGTGCTTAGGATGCAGCATAAAGGATGGGTTTCTGCATAAATGTGGCACTTGCTCTTTTCTTAGTTAAAAATRAAATTCAAGCTATCCTCAAAATATTTGAAAGATTTTGTTTTATGGAAGGATGACCAATTTCTGTAGTGAGTTTTAATATCTTCCATTACATATATGAAAAAGATTAATATGATACCTGGATCCCAAACTCTTCGCTTTGATAGCTTGAAACCCAAAGTAGAATTAATCCTAATTACATGTAGAAGGTATCATTTTAACTGATAGCAGTCTAGTAGGAGTTCAAATTAAATCCTTACCACGGAAGACTGGGGAGGAGTAGCAACAGAAAATCAGGATCGGATACTTTTTTCTTTATGGAAAATTGGAATGAAAAGTAAGATTCTCCTTTTTTCACGTGTGCCTTGGCTATTGTACCTCAAGCTCTGTTTGTATGAAGATATGGAAAGCAGCACTCAGGTTTATAGATTCAGTCAATGCTTCTTAACTTCACCTGTGCAACAGTCACGTCCACACCGTTCAGAATAACTGCCTAGTCATTTGAGAGAATAAGACAGAAAAATGTCTTTCACTTCACAATACCTCTTTCTAACATTGCCCTTGCTGAAAAAGGTGGCCACAATAATTTTAGGAAATTGAAGAACAATTTGAAGTACAGTTTGGCCCTATAATAAACTGCTCATACGTTTGCCAGAGCTGTAGGTGATTTTTCCACATACACTAAGTTTTGGCCCACTTCTAAATCTCCTCCTCCTCAGCTGGCAAACTAGGTCAAAACAAAAATAGACTCTCCCTACCCCTTCCTTCTCCTGTTGGAAGCCCCAGGAAGGCCGGAAAATCCTAGATTTTTGCTGAGTTCATGAACTCCTCAAATATTCTCCGACTTTGAAAGAAGGCAATGTACWAAAAGAAGAAAATAAATAAGTTGCTAACAAACTACAATGTTTACCTTCTGTTTTAATGGCTTCTCAGATTAGACGAGCTCATTTCACATACCTCATGAAGATAAGACACTTGTGCTTAAAGATAACGTGGTACAAYTGCCAGGCTTCAAAAAAATAGTATCAGTTGCTTCATTTGTTTGTCTGTGATCCAAGTAGGGCTGTTTAAAGGCAGGCAAACAAACAGAAATCTTACACTATCAACACTTTACTTGTAATGACCATTTTAGCTCTTTTGCAGACCCAACTGCGTAAATCAGTAAGGGGAAGGGGGAAGATTTTTCATTTTGAAAAACTTCAGACTTCATTTGAAGTTAAAATTCCCCATCCCTGGTGCTCTTTTCCCTCTCTTCCATCACTAAACCTGAGGCAGAGGGCTAGGGTCGTAGTTCTTGCCCCAGATTAAGAGCTGAAGAGGAGGGGTATATAGCAAACAGATAATCCATTGGTGGGGAGAGTCCTGCCCACCTCTCATACTTGCTGGAGTAAGTGCTGGTGTTTCCTCATTATGTGAATTTGTATCCTTTAATTTTGCTGCAGCTGAGGTAAACATGGAATATTTGCAGATGCTACAAACCAGCTCCCAGCCAGAAGGGCTAGAATCCCTAAGCAATGTCTCCTCGTGGAGTAAAGCTTAGTTTGTGTCAAAAGGGATAGCATCGTTCTGAAGCCTTCTTATCTCAACCCCTCAAAAGTTTCCTTACTTGATGGTGCAACTTTATGGGGGTTCCAGTCTTCGGTCAAGACGTGTGGTATCTGCACAGAGGACAACTGGCTGCTCTGCAGTGGTCCTAAAGTGCTGCTTGGACAATTTCATACTGTTGCCCTCATAAGTGATGACTTAGAGTCATGCTGGCATCTCCAGGAGCACGGGAAACAAACTGTGATACCGCTTTAGTCTATCTAGCAATATTTTTATTGGGAATATGGAAGATGTAATATGCACACTGTTAGGATGCATAAGCTTTGATATTTTTATACTTGAGAATTTAATCTGAAAACTAAACTCTTCCACTTTTTTTTTTTCTTCTCTCATTTTTATAAAGTCACCTGGAAAAGCTTTTTCTGGAAATCTGATACGCCAACACCTGGTTCATATGGAAAGACTTGAGCTTCTCAGGAATGTCTGCAGAGACACCGCATTGAGAAATCTCTCTCACACTGCTGTATCCAAGTTCGTCCTGGATCGGATATTTGTGTGTGACAARCACAAGATCCTGTTCTGTCAGACGCCAAAAGTGGGCAACACTCAGTGGAAAAAAGTCTTGATTGTTTTAAATGGTACCTACTCTGATACAGACGTGCGGGTTGATTTGAGGAGGAGGAAGGAGCAGAATCAGTCTGACCAGGACTATACTAAAATGGAATTTTTCTACTTTTCTGCACTGATATTTAATATCAGCTGGTCATTCTTCATGGTTGCTTCTAGTTCTTCTAAAACATCTCTTTTAAAGAGGTTAAACCTGTTGTTTCTGTGAATATAAATGTTGTTATTGTTTGACCAGAAGGTGATTTGGGTCATGAAAGAAAACATGTATTTCGTACATGTGGTGTATAGGTTCATTATCCTTCAAGGGATGTCACTTATTTAAAGAATTTGTCGTAGCCTCTTCTTTTAAATGATTTTCTGCTATACCCCTGCATGCGCACTATTAATTTGACCGTATTTGATATAACATGTCTTGCTTTGACATAAAGGACAGTGAAATTTCTACACATAGTCAGATCGGATGGAGGCCGTTAGATGCTTTTGCAGGTGACATAGCTCCACCAAGGTGTGGGCAAAACCCAAACTTGGTGACAAAAAAGATGGGTCTTTAAAAGCCCCCAGAACTGCCAGACTGCCAGCTCTGCCTTTGTGTTTTCATATGTGGCTTTCCCTTGTGTGAGCTCGTTCACACACTCGGGAGGAAACTGTCACARGTTGACAGAAGAGCTGTGTCTCCCAACAAAACTTGTTGGAAGAGGGCTGTATCTTAAATACTTGAATATTAGTTTCGTCTCTGTTATATAGATGAGAGTTATGTGGACTCCACATTGTAGTTCTGACAACCCTTAAGCTTTTTATTAAAGCTGTTCTTACCTGCACCCCTCTTGTGGCCAGAATACTGGAAGAGAGAAAAGCCATAGACGCTTTCCCCTAGACAGCTGTTTTGTATGTCCTTGCCCTTGCARGTTGGTGCCCTGAAATGATGCTGTTGTGCAGCAGCTTTGGACCCCTGTAGTCCAAAGGGTCCACGTCAGAGTATTCCCCCAGGTCATTACAACTTCCAGGATCAGGGTCTTAAAATAAAGGTGTTAGAATTTAGTGGCGTTTTTCTTGCCAGCTTATGCGCTTGAAAAATAAATTTCTGGAGAGTTTCTCTCTTTGGCTTTAGCGCTTTTTAATATATGTAATATTGTGTGACTGGAATTTTGTTTTCAGCACAATTTAGCTGTTGAAAGAACGTCATGGATCCTGACAGCAAAGTGCTTTTCTGTTGAAATGGTTCCAAAAGCAGCCTACAGTATTTATTTTTCATTGCTTGTGGAAACTCGGCCGGAGAGGCTGATCCTGTCTTTGGAGTTAATCCTCAAAGTCTTCCTCTCTTTGAATGTGTGGGCAGGATGAAAGAGAACAGGGATAGTGAGGTAGGGAGTTACAGGCTTAGACATAATTGCTGGTAAAACTTATGTAATGTGCATTTCTAAGAGATTTGAAGTGATTTGGTCTTGGACCTTGATGTCACATACCCTAAAGAGTTTTAACAGCTCTTAGCATTACAGTCAGACTCTCTCATCGTTTAACAGCTTTAAACATAGTAACCATAAGCACTAAAAATAGAGAAAAGAGGAAAATAAAAAGCTGTGAGTCAAAGGCACACACGTCCTGGCTTGTGCTCCCTTTCTCTTCCCCCACCCTTGGAAGATTGACCTGCTCTCCCTCTGGTTTGTCTAGGGGCGTTTTCTTCCATAGAAGAGATCCCGGAAAACATTGTCCATGACCACGAGAAGAATGGCCTGCCGCGCTTGTCCTCCTTCACTGATGCTGAAATTAAGAAACGGTAAGAAGTGGCTTCCCAGGAGGCTGGGGGGTGTTTGGAGGGAGATGTGGGTGAGCGGGCAGGAGCTGCAGCCCACATCTGGAGCACAGGGTTTCTGTCTCACCACTTTCTGGTGTAACATAGTGCAGCCTAACTCCCCTACCTGCCCAGGTGTTGATGTGACAATCCCTCTCCTGGCTTCGAAGATGTACACGAGRGCAGCTGGGGAAATAATCAGATGATCCAACAACTCCATCTTAGTATGGGATTTCTATAGTTCCATGCATAGCTACTTGTGGTCTGTCTAGATCCCTTGTAAAGTAAAACTTCCCACTTCCATGTAGGACTGGCATTGCAGGTAGATTCTTACCTGGGTTGAGCCATATTGTTTTACAAGGTCCTTCCTCCTTAGCCAGAGACTATTCTCCATGCAGCCGAAGGACTTCATCTTTCTGTTGGAGCACTTATCATCTTCTTCAGATCAAGACATTTATTTTTCTGCAGTGGTGCCTTTTAAATTATGCTGGCTAGGCTGTCCATGCACTTGTTGTTATCTCTGCCAGTGCCTTTTCTACACATAATCCTTGTGGGGGTTGCAGCATGGAGAGAACTGGAAGCAAAATGACAGTGGACACCTGTAAGCTTTAATGCTTTCCTAGTATATTAAGCCATTCTGAAGAGTTAGTCCCTTATATAGGAGGTGGCAGCTCTCACTTGAGCCTAGCCTGGTGTGTCTTGGGTTTGCTGCAAACACAGCAAATATCACCATGGGGAAATATCACTGTGTTCATGAGAAGGTGGATTCATCTCCCTGTGAACAGCCCTGCATGGAGAAGAAATGTTCRCCTATGGAATGAGCAGTAGCTGGGGTATTTGAAGTCAAATGGCATCATTTGGAGTGTTACAGTCAGCCCACTACACAAATAGTGCTGGAGATGGGTAACGTGGGGTCTGTAGGGAATTCCGGAAATGGATTTGGGGGGCATTTATGTGTAGCAAGAGGGATCCTGTGGATCTCCTGTTCTAGTGTGCTTACCTCCTGCCTGGTTAGCCATAAGCCGGGAGAACTTGAAGAGAACTTGAACTTGTCCTTACTTTAGTGAGAATTGGGCTCTGAATCTCTTTTGTCTACTGTTTACCTGATATAAACTTTGCTTTTCGCCAGCTCCTCCTACAGATACTCAGACATGTGGTCTACAACATATTACAGATGTCATGACAAAATATGAAATGCGGTTGAAGACTGTTGGGTTTCATTAAAATAATATTCTCAGCCATTATTGAAAACATGCCAAAACTTCACATAAAATAACAGAAAAGCTTTTTTTTTTTTTTTTCCTTTTTTTAAAATTAAACAGCAATTTGTTTAAAACTGCAGCGGTGTGCATGCATTTAGCTGCATTGAGTCATTTTTATGTGTTGTTCTATATTTGTTGTTTATATATAGAGAAGGGAAGACTGAGAGGAGATCTGATCAATATGTATAAGTACCTGAGGGGAGAATATATGGAGGATGGGGCCTCTTCTTGGTGGTGGCCAGTGACAGGACAAGGGGCAATGGGTATATATTGAAACACATCTCCAGGTGAGGAAGAACTTCTTTCCTGTGAGGCCTGGAACAGAGCCCTGGCACAGGCTGCCCAGGGAGGCTGTGGAGTCTCCTCCTCTGGAGGTCTCCAAACCCGCCTGGATGCCGCCCTGTGCCCCGTGCTCTGGGTGTCCCTGCTGGAGCAGGGGGTTGGACTGGATGGTCTCTGGAGGTCCCTTCCAACCTCAACCATTCTGTGATACATGTTGCTTCTTATTTTGAGCCCAGTCCTATGAAATTAAAATACTCAGAGCTGTCAGCATCCTATAGAACTTGGTATTCTGTTTACATAGTCCAGGATAATCCTAGCTTCTCCTGTTGCATGAAGGGTGGCAAATAGAAACTGTAAATTGTACTTGCTATTGTATACATTTGATGTCTTTTTAATAGATAGTTTTATGTATTTTGAGTCTTTTGGACTGCAGTGTTAAATAGACTATGAAAGTGGCACGTCTAAGTCAGATTCATACTGCTGTCTCTGCAATCAGAATTTACATATATTTTGTAAGTCTTTGCTACACGCTTCTGATATCTCCTTAAGTAATTCATTTCTTATTTCTTCCTTCCCTCCCCTGTTTAGACTGAATTTGTACTTCAAGTTTTTTATTGTTAGAGATCCGTTTGAAAGACTTATTTCTGCATTTAAGGACAAGTTCGTGCACAATCCTCGATTCGAGCCTTGGTACCGGCACGAAATTGCCCCGGGCATCATTCGCAAGTACCGAAAGAACCGCACGGAGACCAGAGGGCTGCAGTTCGAGGACTTTGTGCGCTACCTGGGCGACCCAAACCACCGGTGGCTGGATGTTCAGTTTGGCGACCACATCATTCACTGGGTAACGTACGTGGAACTGTGCGCCCCCTGCGAAATCCCCTACAGCGTCATTGGACACCACGAAACCCTGGAGGATGATGCTCCGTATATCCTGAAAGCGGCCGGCATCGACCATCTGGTGTCGTACCCCACGATTCCGCCGGGGATCACGGTGTACAACAAGACAAAAGTAGAGCGCTATTTTTCAGGAATCAGCAAGAGGGACATAAGACGCCTCTACGCTCGCTTTGAAGGTGATTTTAAACTCTTTGGCTATCGGGAGCCAGATTTCTTGTTAAACTGAGGCCTAGGATAAGCTCTGGAGACGTGTCTGATGGATTAAGCTAAACCCACGTGAATACCAGCTGCAACACTGACAGAGCTAAGAATGCCCGTTTGTTTTCTAGCTTTCTGATGTTGCTCCACTTTCCAGTGAAATATTTGTCATATGAACAATTAGGGGCTTATAGTTGTTGTTTACTGAGCATATTTTCAACGTGTGGCATTGAAATCTGTTAAGAGCAAAATCTGTTATCTAAAATACAGGATTTTACTTACTCTCTCTTCCCTCTAGAAAACCGAAAGCAACAACAAAAAGCCTTATAAAGGTGGCAGTTCCACCGTAGGTTAACTCTGCCATTTGGGTGAACTTACAATTCATGCTCATGGGAAAGCCATGTGGAGTTGCCCATGAGCTATGAAAATTAGAGGCAAATGCAGGACTAAAAAAAAATGATTAAATGCCTGACAAAATCATCAGGTTCTGGCATGTGGCTGCTCTAWTAATAGTAATGAAGATCTAATCCCATTTTTTGTTTGTCAGAAAATGAATCTAATTAGGAAAAAACTTTCGCAATGTCCAAAAAATGGGGCTGGTCCCTGAGCCCAGTTGTCTTTGTATTGCTGTCAGGTGTTTACTTCACTTACTTCCTGGCCTGTTTTTAAAAATATTATTTAACTTCTGGCTACAGAAGCTATCTGAGAACATCAGATACAAATGACGCGCAGAAGAAATATAAAGCTCCTAGGGCTTCCTTTTTTTAAGGAAAGTTTATTTAAAAAGAAAGTTAATTTAAAAACACATCAAAGATGCTAAGTATGAAACATTTTAACTTGTTTTATCTTCTAACAGTTAAATAAGCCACAAAAGCAGGATGCCGTGTTAAGAGAGCTGCTGGAGTTAATTTGGGGTAATACTCCGCCTTTTTCTTATATCATGCCTTGCTCAAGTTTTAGTACCTTAGAGAAGAGAAACCTTTTCCCCCTCTGAAGCTGCATCTCCCTGCAGCTGAAGGGGGCAGGAGGAATCCTTGACTTTTCCAGGGTTTTGCTGCTATGGTGTCCTGAGTCAAAAATGCCCAGCATCCGTGTTCCCAGTGGGTGAGATGGCAACTTGCCAGGAGTTTGAATGTCACTTAAATTTATGTATACACTTTGTGCATTAAAAAAAAAAAAAAAACAAAAAAGCAGAACTGAATGGATGCAACCATAACATTTGCTTGTGTTTGCATTCTTCCTGTCCGATAAAAAAAAAGTCTTTTGTCTGAGTTCACCAGCAATAAAAATCAGCGTGCTGTCCTGCAGTGCACGGGAAGGAGAGACTGTGTCTGCGCCGGACGAATTGGTTCATCATAGTGAGGCATTTGAGCCGTGTTTCTGAAGTCTTAGTCCTAAAGGATTAATTTTCAGGCCAGCGTAGTGTTGCTAGCTAGAAATGCTAATGATGGGCAACGCAACGGAGCCTGCTCTTCGCGGCAGCCACAGTATGTTTTTGATAGCTTCCTGCATCAACAGAAGGGAGCCTCTTGCAGGCAAGAAAGAGGAAAGCTGTGCCAAACTGACATGTGCTGCTCTCTGCAAAAAGGAAGCCCTGTTGCAGTGGGATGTCATTTCAGAACGATCTCAACGGTCCAGTTGAAATAAGGGGGGGTCATTAACGGGGTGTTGTTAGCAAGAGAATCGCCCAAGGTGGCAAAGCTGGAAGGGCCGCTCTGGGTTTGGTTGGTTGTTGGCTTTTGAGAAGGGAAATGGCACTTGCAGTGCCCCAGCCTTGTTAGTTCTTAACTTACGAGGAAAAGTGGTTTAACAGCTCCAAGTTCTTTGTGTGTTCTGTTTGTTTGTTTATTTGTTTGGTTTCTTTTTGTTTTGTTTTTAATATGGCAACTTAGCAAAATGTATTAGCAAACACCTTTTGGAGCTAATGAGCTGATTGATTACCTCTCTGCCGATTTCAAATGTAACAGTGTGAATAATGTATAGTGAATTCAGGCCTTAAAGTTTAAATCTAATAAAGTAGAATCATTTTTCTCTGAAAGCATAAGCTACTGATCACACAGCACACAAATGTATCTGTTTTTATTTTTCTTCATAAACTACTTAATATATTGATTGCTTAAAATTGCAGATGGAAAGTTATGTACAGGCTTTCAGTAACAATGTTTTTCCTATAGCCTTCTCTGAGCTGAGTTCCCTTCAAAGTTTGATGGCAAATGTGGATTGATTTATGCACTGATACATAGAAATCCAGCAAACTGGATTGTCCCCCAGCTCTCCTGTCCTCCAGCTCTGTGCTCCAGTGCTTTTCTGCAGGCTGCAGTTGGAATATTCAGTGCCTTTTTCCTCAACTCATACGTGAAGTTCCTCCTCAAAATTCTTACTTCTGAACTATCTTCTCTTTCTGGTAATGTTCCTTTGCTCTCGTGGCCCAAAGAATTACAGAGCAGTTTTGGCATGACTTGCAGAAACTTGGGCAACATTAAAGTGAGTCCCTACATGGCTATGGTGAAGTCCTGACCGTGTAGATTTGGTGCAGCACAGAGTGACCAGCGCATTCTGTGGCCTAGACAAGACTCTTGTCGGGACAGTCATGCCCAATTAAATCCTTGTGGTTTGTTTTAAATTAATTGTAGTCTATGCAAGGCATTTACAAATCGAATCCCAGTGGCGTGTGCATGGATGGCATTTGGCTGCTTGSATGTCGTTTCCGTACTGCTTTGTAGCTGCAGGGGTACCTATGTCAAATGCAGGTGATGGGTATGTATCTGGGGAACTGCTCATCCGGATGATTACTTTCCTTTTCCATTATTGCTATAGCTTCTAAAGACAAAMCTACACAATTACTGTATGTCAGTGTATTTCCTTTTGTTGTCTTTCCTCAGTAGTTTTGGAATCCTTTGGGCAATATTAACCCCATTTTACAGGGGATGTTTGAGTTCTTAAAATGTTGAGCTGTAATAAGCTTTTTGAAAAATAACAGCAAGCTAGAGCAGTATTCTTTATACATCAGAGAATCCACACTGCATGTTAATTTTAGGAAAAGTGCAGTCAAGGAGCTGAGCTTTACTGATTTTGCTGGTCACTGAACTGGTTGTTTCTCAGACACACRCTTGCCTAGTGCTCAGAAGCTGCACTCTCATCTCAACTAAGCACAACAAAAATAATGGATTAGCATGGATTTGTGTGGGCCTGTCCTGCTCATCTGCCTTGTATAAAATTAAGAATTGGTCGAGATCAGTTTTGCTTTGTTTTTTGATGTGCACATCCCACTTCCTTGCAGTAGAAGTAGACTGAAAATCTCCATGCCCGCGAGCCAACTTTAAGGGCAGTGTCTGTCCCCTTCTAACTCCACCACGCCGCCAGTTATCACCCGTCATCTCTCCTGAACACACATCGTGAAGATGCTTCTCCATGCTTAGAATTTATCCGTGAGCTGTTATTTGGGGAACTCTTCTGCAAAAGAAGTCATCCGCTCAAGAGTGTGCAGAAAACACATGTGTTTTCGCGGACATCCTGTTGTCATCTCCTGGGATTGCAGCTTGGATGCTGGGGCGGGTAAGAGCCCTCTGCTGTCCCCGCTTGTCCCTGCAGTGGGACAGCACGAGCAGAGGCACCAGAGAGCTCGGGCTTGTGTGCAGCATCGCTGCAGTTTTGTCTTTCAGGTGTTAATACATGTATTTGCAGGCAAAGCCAGCTCTGGTCTTATCTGTGTGTGAGCAAGCTGACGGAGAAAAGAGTGATTATACAGGCAGAGCTTAAGCTCTTCTCGCAGATGAAAACGGATTTCCTTACAGTATTTCGGTCTGTATCTGATACCCTTTAATTGCAAGAGAGGGCAATATTTGAGCTTAATGGCCTTGCTCTGCTTTGCACTAAGGCCCAGTCCTATTATTCTGCTAACTAAGGCGACCTTAAAGGAGATGCAAAGTCAGCATGTGCTTGTTTTAAATGCAAGAGTGTAAAGACTTTTGACATAGGAATTGAACCCTGAAGATTGACTGTGGCCAACCCCTTGTTGTACAGGGTCTGCAGAGACCACTGGGGTGAGAGGCTTGAGAATATCTGCAAAGTAAAAASTGGCTTGTGACTCTTGTGTGGAAATTTGCCCTTTTGCCTAAGTTAAAGGTGCATGTTGTTTGGCTGCTGCCGAGGGGATGATTTTGGAATAAAATTGCCYATTTGCAGCAAAAGCAACAAATGCCAAATGCCTCCCTCACGGAGGAGGGGGGAGTTCGTCTTGCTCAGATGTGTTCAGCTGACACTGGCATCTCTGGCTATAAATCTTTATTTTTTTTGTGCTTTTTAATGCAGTTGTGTGGAACTGAGGTGTTGTATTGTTTGCCCATGGGCAGCAATAGCCTGAGGTGCCTCATTCCAGAGCAGCTTTGAGAGACTTGTGCCCGTTTTGCCGTGCGGTAGAAGCAAGAGGCATGCAGCTGCTACCAACAGAAATGGTGCTGTTCAGGGCTAACTACTGTGAAATCATCATTTTCCCTCTCCAGCCAGGCAGGAGAGAAGGGAAAAGAGCTGTGTGGTTGCCCTCAGTCGTGAAAAGGAACAGCACGGATAGAAATGCTGGATTGTTGACCTGGAGTCTTACCTAGGAGAAGACCATGGAAAAAGAGGAGCGGGCAGTTGTTGTAAAGACCCCTAGAGACGTTGGATGCAAGTTGCTGATGCGTTCCTGGAAGTGTTGGAGCAGCAAATGTTCTTCCCCGTATCATGTGTCTGCACACCAGAGAAGCAGCTGCCAGTAAGACAAAATGCACACGCCAGACTGAAAACACGAAGCATCTGCTGTATGTGACTGTTTGAAAGCATTCAGGAAAAAAAGAAAAAAGAAAAAAAGGAAAAAGGGAAGTGCTTCCACTGCAAAGGAACTAATTAAACCTAGCCCTAGAGCTTGCATACCTGGAAATGCAATATCTAGGTATTGGCCAGAAGTAGGCTGACTGTCCTGGAAGGGTCTGAGCATTTCTGGGCAGCTCATGGGATGAAAGCGAATTTGCAGCTAGGAGGGCAAGCGCAGGCCATAGAACAGCTGCACACTCTCTGAAAAGCTATTTAACACTGAGGACCTAGCCAAGGCTGCTAATCATGCCTATGCACATGGATCTCCCCCGGGGAAAATGTACAGCCGCGCTGGAAGCATGCAGGAAGAAGGAAAAGCTTTTGTGAAATGCCTAGTGGTTTGAACACCCAAGAGTTATATACACCCAATGTGATTTAAGAAGTAGTATTCATAATAGATTTTCTTTATTTCTCTGGTCTAAAGCCTTCCTTTTTTTATTCAGCTCTCTTTCCTTTGTCCTGTGGGGCATCGTTCTTCCTTTGCAAAATGGTTGGAGAGGCTTTAGGAATTCACTTACAGAAAAATTACTGCTATTCTGTTCTGTTTTTGGAATCTTTTTCTGATGGTTTGTATGAGTCCTAATAAGGCTTTACAGCAAGTAAAATTCAAAATCACACATACCATAAAGTTTCTCTTTGAATCTGCTGATTTTACTGTCATCCTACTTAAATGATTTATAAAGTAATATTTACTTTATTGCTTTATTAGGATTTACTGAATTACCACCTTTCCCTGTCATCCTACTTAAATGATTTATAAAGTAATATTTACTTTATTGCTTTATTAGGATTTACTGAATTACCACCTTTCCCTTGAAAATCTGCATTATTTGAACTTGTTAAAAGGCAGCTAGCAAGAAGACATAAAAACAGAGCTCCAAAATGTGTCATTATCTGTATACTTCTGTCCATTTCACAAACTTCTTTCATCTTAGATCAACGCTTTTTTCCTTTCATTATCTTTTCAGTTTAGCCCTCTCCTGCAAAACCCATCCAGATACCTATTTGTGATTAAAAACTACATGTTTTGAGAAATATACGAGAGTAAAAGGATTAGGAACAGAGTTACAGGG